GTTAATTTTTTTTTTTTTTGCCTTAAAAGATCTTAGTTTCTAGTAAAATAACTTTGGAATCGTTGCAATAAGATTCAAGTTTACGGTGTTAAATGGATGACGGTTAGAATGTGAAGAAAGAAAAAAGAAACGTTACGAAAGAGGAAGATTAGAAAGAGAAACGGAAATCCTGGAGGAGAAACGGAAACGCGGCAGTCTCATGGAAAATGTGTCATTTTCTGTCCTTCTCGGCTGGCAAGGAAATTTAAAGGGACCGCGAAGAATGGGGGCAGGAGGGGGTAGGATTGTGTGCCGGGATGGTGAAGGTGAGAGGGTAGTTAAAGGATGAAATAGAGTGGGATGGAGGGGCGACGGAGAAATTGAGTCTGGTTCCTCGTATCTCGTTCGCCGCGCCCCGTGCCATTAGTTGACCATGAAGAGTATCGTTACGAATCTCTCCCTCTGGAGGACCAGCTGACAGCCTCACTCGACCAAGTGAAACTATCTACAAGTGAAACAAATCAGTGTTCATCGTTTACCATTCTACAGTAAAGCTTTGCAACGAAATAAACAACGAAGGAATTGACCGCGAAGAAAGAAAAAAGAATATTCAAGGAACCACGCCATAAAATAGGATATATTACGGAACAGAGGCTTCCTTATTGCGAGGTGACGGGGTAGATATTTTTAACGAGTTTTTATTAACACCGGTTTCTCCGCGTTAACTTCAATTAGTCTGCACAAAAGCAAGGAAAACCTCATCTCGATTTTTCTTACTGGTATCTTACATAAGGAGCAATTCCTGTTGACTCAATATTTAAAGAAATATGCATACTATAAAGCAGGAGAAAAGAAGGTATTGTCAGAGGAGAGAAAGAACGAGGATGACGAAGATATCCTGCGGAACGTGTATGGAAGTATATGTATACCTATCCAGTGGCGGAGGGTCCGCCAGGACCAGCCAGCGAAAACCACCCCTCTTGCCCTTTCCAGTGAAGCGAAAACACACAGAGGGAGCTAGAGTGCGACAGGTGGAGAACAAGGATGAGGATGGAAGAGGAGGGATAGGAGGGATGGGCATTTCGGGGTAGCGAAGGAGAAAGAGGCTAGGCTAGTCGTGTTTGGCTCGTGCGACGAGCGCATGAGAGCGACGAGGAGGGTCTTTGGAGGCGATGGTGAAGAGGATGGTGGCCGGTGTTCGGTGGACGAAGAGGGGAAGGATTAGAGGGTGAGAGTTAGGGGCGACGTAGTGGGGGATAGAGGCTGGTTCCGTGCGTTTCGTTGGAGAACTCGTACCACTGGGCGACCGTAAAGGTCGTCGTTGCTCTCTCTCCACGTCGGCACATAGAAGTCGAGCAGCTGGCAGCAACGTCAGCAACGAGGAACGGATCAGTCCACCGTGTGCCAGCCTCGAGGTCCGTGTTTCTCTCTCTCTCCCTCTTTTTCTCTCAGTCTGGATCCTTTGATCATCGTTCGCGGTGTGGAGAGGCCTGCTCCGAATAATACACGATACGATTATCGATACACGAATTTCATCGAGTATATACTGCCTTTTTTTCCTCCGTTCTTATTCTGTTCTCGTATAAGAAGTAATTTAAAGTTCTACTGGCTCTGACGATGGAGAAGATGAAACGAAAGGATTTCGAAGAAAAGAATACAAGTTGCCGTTTGAGAATGAAGTTGCTGGAAGATATTGCGCGATTGGGATTGGATCTCGACGATTGGACAATCTATAGAGAAATTGTATATCTGAGAGGATTGGTAGAGGAGAAGGAAGGATTTAAAGAAAATCAGCTGTCAAGGTGGCTGTCTTCGTTCACGCGATCATGGAATTACTGTCAACGATCGACCGTGGCGATTAGCGTGAGTAATTGGAGGAAGCTAGGATGTAGACGATCACATAGATGGAAAATGTCTGTTTTCCCTTCAACCGCTATGTTCTTTCGACTACGAGCGGTCAATTCATGATTTGTGTACGAAGCATATTGTTGTACAGCCAACATTGTGTTCGATGATCATCGAATATTTTTCGATCGTTAGAAACGAAACACGTAATATGATTTGCGTATGACCTATGCTTGCATCATTTTCTTTATTATCATGAGATATTCTACCGTAGTCACTCCGTTTTTCATTATCTAGCTTGTTCTATCATCCTCACGTTCATAGCCTCAGGTTTTCTTTGATATATGTATTTCTTGGGAAGTTATTGCACAACCGGAAAACGCGAATTAAACGTGTAAATACGAAACGTGCCGCCGTTGACGAGTATTTGCACTCCATTGTCTCCACGTCTTCGCTCCCCTTTTCCGTTTGGCCGGGCTCGTTCGCGATTTTGTCGCGTCGTCGATCTCCAGTCGTCATCAGATTAATTTCCAATTTTCGTGAAATCCTTTGTTTTTCAGCGTGCAACGTTCCGTTATCGTAAAATAACCGCTTATCGATGAAATTAACATCGGTTGGACTTTGAATTCGTCGTAAAATTCAACAAAGAAATGTTTCATTTACCTCAAACCAGATTTTTATTAAGGCACTTTTATACAGAAAATTATCTACATATAGTTTATATTTCTTTGCTGTTTGCAATAGGACTGAAGTAACGTTTACAGTGCAATACATATACATACATATTTAACTTCAAACGTATTGCATTTTTACATCGAAGTAAATTAATGAGAAATAACGAGAATAATTGCGGCAGTTAACATATCGTCAAACATTTTACGAGCTTGTCGACGGAGCAGATTGAAGCGTTGTGTACTTAAAATGTACACTGAGTCACGTCGTCGAAAGACATTTCATTAATTCACGCAAATCCGATGTGAACAATGCGATACATACAAATTAGGCCCGTCCCTGGGCGATTTCTCGTGAACGAACGCATCAACGGTCAAATACCGTTCTCCAACCGCAAGATAATAATCCTAACATTACTGTGACATTCCAAAAAATTTTATGAAAAGATGATTCATGTTCATCTAAAAACGCTTCATATTTCATGACTTCACTTCATATCTTTTTATTTATTTCATTTTATTTATTTCACGTAGAAATTTTTAACATAGTTAAGAAACTCAAATTTCAATTTCAGCATTAGAGAAATTAATAGATAATAATTCTAACATCATTCTAGTTGAATGGAAAAATTCTATTAAAAATACATGCATACTTCATATAGAGTAGAAGGATTAGGATTATTAAGCGTATTAATAGATAATAATTGTCACACCACTAAAACCATTCCAAAAGTTCTGTCAAAAAATATTTCATATTATAAAAGTCGTTTATACATTCAAAGAGACTTAAATCACAACTGTATCATTAAGAAGATCATTTTGTCAATCTAAGTTGTCGTTTCGCGACCTTAAATCAACCTGTCTACAGCGTTCTCGTTTCATTTTCCCGCGATGCAATTTCATTTCGGTGGACGTCTGTTATTTCATGCTCTACCGCTGAATTATACTATCGTATTACTACTTTGTGTACCTGGTCGCGTTCCACGGTTCGCGTTTGATACGTGTAATCTAAGAAAATCGTATCTTCAGGGCAGACGACGCGAAGAAGTTCCAAAGTACGTTTGAAATTGCCGCGTGAAGCGGACGGGTCCATTGCAATGATCGACGCGGTGATGCAGCTCTGATCTTATTGGCCAATTCACAGCGGCGAGTACAATGGCGTAGGGAAGACGAAGTGCCCGTGCAAGGACGAATTATGTAATTGAGGCGAGATACAGCTTAACGTCGCTAATAACGAATTATTTGTTCGAGCGCGAACGAAAATCAGGTGATTCTAGCTGGAACTGTTCCCGTAACAAAACATCTGGTATAGCATTGCCGAAGTGTGTTCGAAGTTTCAAGGACATCTTGTTTACGATTTGTGGGTCGTAATCCCAGATCGATATTCAATACCTTGCAACGTATAATTGAATTTTTCTTTGTTTATACGCATCTTCAATAAATTTAAATGCCAAGATATTATTATACAAAATATGATAGTGACATGTTATATTAACATTGTAAAACATTTTAAACTTTACCCTATTACTTAATTTTATGCCATGCTGGTAAAAGCCAAATGAATAATACAATAAAAATGAAAAATTTTCTTCGATTAATTAGAAAGAATGCTGCATTCGAGCGCAAAGTTTTGGGTATGTCGACAAAAAGAGAGTCACGAACAAAGCAGGGAAATGTATACGTATTTCTCCTGGGCAATTATTTACGTGAACTTAGATAAAAGCTCGCCACAAGTACACGTGTCAAGTGGAGCGCGCGCGGTCGCATATATCAGCTACGCGTTCTCCAAAACTGTGTACAATGATGTACGGACAATGCGAAAAAGACCTGCGAGGCTACCTCGGGGCAAGCCAACGATTGTCGGTTTTTTGTCGAGATCAAAGGTGTCCCGTAGCTTCAGCTATGTATAGTATACAGACAGTGCGAGGCACGCCTTGCAAGGCAGCCTTGTTGGTCTGTCTCGTACTCTCTGTACACTTTACATATATAGCTTAAACGAACGTTCGAACCCTCCTCGTCGCCTATATGGGCGAGTTTCACGAATGTCGGCTCGGACGATAAATTCGTATCGTGAATCAAATGCGATTGGCTAGCTGACAGTGACGTCAAGCCGGTGGGCAGCCGTCAAGTGGCAAGGCTGTGTCGCGTTCACTAGAGATTTGTAAAAATTCGCTTCCTTTTCTTCCCTTCTCTCCCCGATCTTTCATAATCGGAACCTATTATTACGACGATACAACGACAAATTTACCGAAGACTATGAATCATCTATGGCTGACGCAAACGTCATGTGATGGCTTAGTTTTTTTTCAGGAAACATAATGTGTTGCCTCCAGTTAGAATTAATCGGATTCCGCGTCTCTCTTTTGCGTATATTCTCGATATTTGCATGTGTATTTGAGATATACGAGTGTGTACACACGTAACATTTATCTAACGATGACAACTTTCCCGTTTCTTTTTTCCGGTTTCCTTGGCTGGGCGGCGATCGATGATGGGTGGTTGCAGTGAGCAGGCTCCATTGCGAATCCGAGTCCTTCAAAATGGACTTGATCCTGGACATCAACTGCTGGCTTTACCCTATGGAACTCGGTGAGTATCCTTCTACGATTTTTATTTTTAATATGAGACAACATCAAGATAATTGGACCACAACTATAGTTGAGGATATTATTAGTAGATATAGTAGATCTAAGAACTATTAGCATTTTTCGGAAATATTTTAGTACACTGAAATTAGATGCATATCAATAACAAAGAAGAATTAAAATTTTTATTTCATTAAATTTCATTTTTTCTTTTAATTTAAAGTTAAAGAAGAATTTTAAGAAAAATTTTCATAATTAAACAAATATTTTATAATCTCAAAGTATAACCCAGCTATTGTCAAATATAACTTCAACCAGATAGAGTAGCTTCACGAAAACCACTTCTCTTGATAAAAAACATATGGTCCTCATTATACCATGTGTCGACCAATGTGACAAATCCAGCGATGATCAACGACGTTAAATTCTCTAACGGACAAAAATATTTTCGAAGCTATACATGCTTGAAGATATGTAGTGTGCCCTATTTAAACTTGTCAGAGTTTAAGAATTCCAATTTCACAAAAGAAGGTACCGGTTATATAGGACGAGTTCCACGCGTAATTAATGACCGTCGTTTTTAGACTTACTTTCTTGCCAACGGTAAAATTTCATCTGCTTATATTATAATTTTCACTTGACAACTTTGTCGAGAGGGAAAAATACTTAAACAACGTCTGTTGGCAAAGGGACGACTTAGATCGCATGAAAATTCTGTTTGCTATAGCACAGAGGCGCTGTCAGGAGCTCTTAGGTGTTTGTTTACATCGCGCGCGGCTCGCAACTTTGCGTGCGTACACTTGTTCGATATATGTATGTAGTCACGGTCTGTAAATGTTGCAAGATAAATATTGAGTTTACCATCTCCTTTAATTCGACGTAGTGTCTAAAAGTTTCATCATCGTTGTGAAGTACATATTTTCACGATTCAAGTCGGTGCCACGGAGAAGCAAAATTTTAACTTAGAATTATATGTATATTTAGTAATTTAAATTCAATTTTGTTTCATGTATTGCGAGAAAATTTTTGATGATATTGTTTCGATTAGAAGGAACATAATTTAATACGTTTTTTATCTTCCACAAAGGAAGCGATACCCCTACTTTTAATCAAAGCAGGAGCGATATCAGTAAAAACGATCAGTAATTACTGCGAATACGTAGACCAGATATTATCGAACGTTCGATAAATGTACGAAGCTAAAATACATTCTATCGGGGCTACAAACAATACTATATTATACGACATTGTTTGTTACGCTTGTCTATTTTCATTCCGGCGACCAAAACATACGTAAAGATGTGAATTCCAAAGCGTAGAATGAAATATATCTTCGTTTATAAAAGTGGCGGAGCAGGTGGAGTGAATTTGGCAACCGCGGCGATATTTAGAAATTTCTATTTTCCTTCTTGAGCGAATTTCGGGTACCGCCCGTTTTCCGGTTGTGCAACGAATGCCAAAATCATTGATGCGCTAAAATTGTTCCATGTTTTCCCTCATTTGTGAGCAGAAACTCATAATAAAGCGTATTTGAGGCCTGAGATAGTGTACAAATTTGTTGTAAAAGTTAGAAGATAGATGATACGATTGTTTTATCACGCATGATTGATATCGAAGAAATTTATATAAACGGCTCGTCATATTTGGCACTTTGGTAAACACGACACGTGTTTCGTGCTAAAAGACACACGTGCTGTTTCACGCGTGTCTTTTTATTCTTGTGGTTCTACCACTTCTTGGTTTAGACGTGCGAAGGACGACCTTGGTTAATGGACACTGCCGGAACGTGTTCCGCACAGCTCGAAGCGAGTTGCTGCTGGCCTACTGTGTACTTACAACTTTCAAGGTGACTTCTTTTGCTTTTTTTGTGCCAACGAACTGTTTTCGTCTACGACCTCGTCGTGTTTAGGACACGTGAGCCGTCCACTTTTGGATGTGGAGATACGACGTATTTTCGTCTTTCTTTTTTTTTTTTTTTTTTTTTTTTTTT